TTCTCGGGTTATATTTCTCGGGTTTATATTCTCGGGTTATATTTCTCGGGTTATATTTCTCGGGTTATTCTCGGGTTATATTCTCGGGTTATTCTCGGGTTATATTCTCGGGTTATTCTCGGGTTATTCTCGGGTTATATTCTCGGGTTATATTCTCGGGTTATATTCTCGGGTTATATTTCTCGGGTTCTCGGGTTATTCTCGGGTTATATTTCTCGGGTTATATTCTCGGGTTTATTCTCGGGTTATATTCTCGGGTTATTCTCGGGTTATTCTCGGGTTATATTCTCGGGTTATTCTCGGGTTATATTCTCGGGTTATATTTCTCGGGTTATATTCTCGGGTTATTCTCGGGTTATATTCTCGGGTTATATTTCTCGGGTTATATTTCTCGGGTTATTCTCGGGTTATTCTCGGGTTATATTCTCGGGTTATTCTCGGGTTATTCTCGGGTTATATTCTCGGGTTATATTCTCGGGTTATTCTCGGGTTATTCTCGGGTTATTCTCGGGTTATATTCTCGGGTTATTCTCGGGTTATTCTCGGGTTATATTCTCGGGTTATATTCTCGGGTTATATTCTCGGGTTATATTTTCTCGGGTTATATTTTCTCGGGTTATATTTCTCGGGTTATTCTCGGGTTATTCTCGGGTTATATTTCTCGGGTTATATTTTCTCGGGTTATTCTCGGGTTTATATTCTCGGGTTATATTTCTCGGGTTATATTTCTCGGGTTATTCTCGGGTTATATTCTCGGGTTATTCTCGGGTTATATTCTCGGGTTATTCTCGGGTTATATTCTCGGGTTATTCTCGGGTTATATTCTCGGGTTATTCTCGGGTTATATTCTCGGGTTATATTCTCGGGTTATATTTCTCGGGTTATTCTCGGGTTATATTCTCGGGTTATATTTCTTGGGTTATTCTCGGGTTATATTCTCGGGTTATTCTCGGGTTATTCTCGGGTTATTCTCGGGTTATTCTTCTCGGGTTATATTTCTCGGGTTTATTCTCGGGTTATATTTCTCGGGTTTATATTCTCGGGTTATTCTCGGGTTATTCTCGGGTTCTTCTCGGGTTATTCTCGGGTTATATTCTCGGGTTATATTTCTCGGGTTATATTCTCGGGTTATATTCTCGGGTTATATTCTCGGGTTATATTCTCGGGTTATTCTCGGGTTATATTCTCGGGTTATTCTCGGGTTATATT